CCACAGCGCTGGCTAGAGTGGGCCAGATCCCTGAAAAAGGCCATGAAAGACCCCCGAATTTTGAACTTGCAGCAGATATTTCCCCATAGAGACAAGGTCAGGCATAATTTAGAGCCCAGAAACCTTAGGGGTACACGAGGGAGGCTGAGCTAAGAAGATGTGACAGAGGCAGTGCTTAAGGAAAGAGAAGATAGGTCGATACTTACGCCCTACCGCTTCCCTAGCAGAGACCCAAAGAAGGCTCTGGTGACCAGAAGGTGAGGCAAAGGTAGAAGTCAGAGACCCCAGCGTACTCGGTCAGACAGGCCACACAGGGGATGAGATGTAATTGTCTGCATTTGGAGATTTTAACTGTGTGTGTGTGTGTGTGTGTGTGTGTGTGTGAGAGAGAGAGAGAGAGAGAGAGAGAGAGAGAGAGAGAGAGAACAGACCTCCACTGTACCAGAGTGAACTGTACCAGGTGCATGGCTGATGAGGTAAAGGAAGGCAAGTCCCTCGTGAGCCCTGCCTGCACTTTTGGGCTTTACCCTTCTATTCACACCAGCCTCTGAGCAGAGCCCAATTCCCTGAGTAAGCTGGAGATGGGTGGCAAGAGTGAAAAGCTGGCTGGAGCTGAGAGTAGCTGAGGACAGTGAAAGGGGCTGCCCAAGCAAGCAGCCACGGTGCAGTGTCTCCCACACACCAGCAGCGTGGGGCTTTGTCAGGATTCAGAGAGGCTCTGTTAAAGCCAGAATGGAATTTCTCATGGCAACAAGAGCTGATGGGGACCTAGTAGGCTTGGGAAGGTTGGCGCTAAATCCCTACTAGCATTCTCTTTAAGCAAACAGTGTCAAGTGGGGCTTTCTCTGTGTGGCTTTCACTTGCACAACTCAGGGCCTCTGAGATCTACTCCACTGCATGGTTTTGTCACCTAGAGGGTCAGAAAAGGAAACCCCTGGGGCGTGGAGACATCTAAATGCTGTCTGGGATGCCAGCTGGAGGCAGGAATCTCAGCCCACAGATACAAGACACTGCTCCCTTGACCTCTCTGATCCAGGTACCGCTCAGTGCTCAGACCCAGATATAAGATTGGCTACAAGACTGTGACAGATGTGGCCTGGCGTTGCTGTCCTGGTCTTACTGGAGCAGGCTGCCCCGAACACCTCACAGACCATGGAGCTACCCCACCACGCCGAGAGCCAGAGCCTCAGACTCCCTTAGGGCAGCTGGTCCCAGGCCCCAGGCCTCCTTCTTATAACAGAGAGGCCCCAAGCCCCCATGGTGAGTCTGTCCATGGATGCCCTCCAAGGGGAGTCAAGTTTCTTAGGCTTAGCGGCAGGATGGAGGGAACTGATGCAGGCTGTGTAAGCTCTCATCGAGCTGGGGGTGGAGGTAGGGAGGTACTGCTCATGAGGGGCATGACTGTCAGGTCCAATCTTCCCCACCCAGACACCATCATAAAGGTGAGGGAGCTGTGTCTAGGGATGAGGATGACATGCTGAAGGGCCAGGGTGCTCCTGGGGTCTTTCTTCTTCCTTAGGAAGAAAAGGCCAAGGGCTGTTTGGTGAGCGGCTAGAACAGCTGGAGGGCGATGTTCGGCGCCTATCACAAGCGTATGGCACTCTGAGTGGTTTGGTGGCCAGCCAGGAGGATCCCAATAGAATTACTGGTGACTCCAGGGCTCCTGTTGCACCTATAGGCTTTGGGGTCATCCCTGAGGGGTTGTTGGACCCAGAAGACAGAGGCAGAGGGATCATACCTCCTCTGGGTGAGATCCTGAGCAAGGTGACAGAGGTGAGTAACACATTACAGACCAAGGTGCAGCTCTTAGATGAGGTGCACGGGCTGGCCCTCGGTCATGAGGCTCACCTGCAGAGGCTGCGGGAAGCCACACCATCCCCACTGACCTCCCTGGCACTGCTGGAGGAGTATGTGGACCAGCGGCTACAACGGCTCTGGGGGAGCCTGCTGGATGGCTTTGAGCAGAAACTGCAAGGTGTCCAGAGTGAGTGTGACCTGCGCGTGCAGGAGGTTCGGCAGCAATGTGAGGAGGGCCAAGCAGCCAGCCAGCGCTTGCACCAGAGCCTGGATGGCCGAGAGCTGGCCCTGCGTCGGGAGCTCTCACAGCTGGGCACTCAGCTGCAGGGCCTGACTCTGACTGGTGGGGGCACCTGCTGCAGCCAAGTGGCTTTGATCAATGCCCGTGTGGACAGCCTTGAGAGGAACCTGCAGGCTGTCACTGAGGCCCAAGGTGGCCTCAGCACCCTGGCTGCAGATGAGCTTGCACGCCTCTCTGCTGCTATGCTCCAGGGAGGTGTGGATGGGCTCCTTGAGGGCCTAGAGACCATCAACAGGACAAATGATGGAGCAAGGGGCTGCTGTCTGAGAATGGAAATGGGGGGCTGGGGTGTCGGTGGCTTCCGGTCTATGCTGGAAGAGCGAGTGCAGAACCTAGAGGAGCGTCTGGCAGCTCTGACAGGAGAGCTAAGCCACAACAGTGCCACACCAGACAGATCAGCACGACCGCTTATTCAGACAGAGCTAGCTGTACTAGAACAACGGCTGGTCAGCCTGGAGACCTCATGCACCCCAAGTACCACCTCAGCCATCCTGGACAACCTTGTGGCAGAGGTGAAGGCCTGGCAGAGCAGGAGTGAGGCCCTCCTACGACAGGTGGCCAGTCACACTGCTCTGCTCCAACAACTCAACGGCACAGTCGCCGAAGTTCAGGGGCAGCTGGCAGAAGGGACAGGCAGCTCACTCCAGGGTGAGATCACTTTGTTGAAGGTCAACTTGAACTCAGTGAGCAAGTCACTCACAGGCCTCAGTGACTCTGTCAGCCAGTACTCTGATGCCTTCTTGGCTGCCAACACATCCCTGGATGAACGAGAGCGAAAAGTGGAAGCCGAAGTCCATGCCATCCAGGAACAGGTCAGTAGTCAAGGCTCACGGCTTCAGGCTGGCCACAGGCAGGTCCTGAACCTTCGAGGGGAGCTGGAAAAGCTCAAGGCTGGTGTGGCCAATGTGGCTGGAGGGTTGAGCCGCTGCCGGGACACAGCCCAGGAACTCCAGCACACAGTGGGCCACTTTGACCAACGGGTGGCTCAAGTGGAGGGAGCATATGAGAGGCTGGGCTTATTGGCTGCCCACCTGAACAATTTGCCTACTGAGCAGCTGAGGTCCAGGGAGAACCTGTGGGGTCACATAGACAAGCTGAACCACACGCTGGCCCAGCACACACAGGACATTGCCCGTCTCCGGGATGACCTGCTGGACTGCAGAGCTCAGCTGGCTGAGGTGAGGCCAGGACAAGCCGACTAGGATGGCTGGACAGAATCTAAAGTCCAGATCCCCCCAACCCTGGGAATATCATCCCAGAGACCAACCCCACCCAGCAGCACCTTCTGGTCTTCCTGGCCATCCAGAGGCCACTGGATGAATGGCCTTGGTCCAGCTCAGCATGACTGTCACAGCCATTGAAAGCCACCTTCAATGCTGTAGTCTGGACAATTCAGGATAATAGTCAAGGCAAGCTACACAAGATGCTGTCTTAGAAGAGCCAAGACAAACACGCCGTGCCTGAAGGAAAAGGACTTGTGAGATGGCACACTGCAATGTCTGCACTTTCTCTTGTTGCAGACACACTGGGGTTAGCAATTGTGCAAACCTGTCCACTGTTCCCTTTACCAACCAGTGACCAGTCACAGCCCTTGGAGGCATCTCCTGCCTTGTCCCTTGGGCTTCCATCCTTAGGTATGTAAGGAAGATGATGCTGGCTGGACCTGTCTGGCAGCTTCATATGTGCTATTTCTGAACCAAAGACCAGAAGCCACCCAAGGTTTTCAACTCCCCACACATCCTTCAGGACAGAACAAAAGCCCAGCAGCCTAGCCAGTTCTCTGTATTCCTTTTGATCTTGCCTCATGGTAAGGGTGTAGGCAGCTGTAGACTCCCAAAGAAAAGAAGGGATTCAAGCACTGTTTGGAGACCCATCCCAATCTATCATTTTTCTTTGAATTCACAAATACACCCACATGGTCCTTTTCAGTTAGAGGAAGATCTCTCCCTGCTACCTAGGTCAGTGCCTCTGGCCAAGAGCAGCCTTAGAGTCTATTGAGGCAGACCCTGAGAAAGGGGCTGTAGCTAGGTGAATAGGGGTCCAAATCTTGCTTTTTAACATCCTTCCAACACCCCAGCCTTGCCAGGAGGTTCACAAACTGGGGAGAAGTTGAGGCAGGAAGCTGTCAAGGAACAGCTGGAAAACACAAGTGCTTACAGACTGACCATGTCTGCTGACCCCTGGCCTCAGTTTCCCCCTGGGCCTGCTGTGCTGTTTGTTTCCCACACAGCCCTGCATTCTGGCTTGTGGACATTCAATGTTGGTCCCCAACTCTGACGTGGCTGGGAAGCAGGTTGAAGATTAAATTTTGAATTGGTCCACTAGCAGCGGGAGCTACTGGTGTCATTTTGTGTCCCACTGTGCCTTGGATGACACTAGACTGACCAGCTGAAGCCAGGGAAGGATGGTTAGCAAACACCATCTGCTGTAGCCAGGACTGGGCCAAGCCCTCAGGAAGGGGCCACGAGCAGCAGGGGCAGTGGTTTGGCCGGGACGGGGTTGGCAGGAACCACTATCCATGAGCCCTTCTGTGACCCCCGAGTCCCTCATTCCTCTTTTCAGAGGGACCCTGGACCACCCAGGTTTGGGGCTGAGAGTTCACAGTATTTAGAGAAGAGTGATGCATGGATCAGGAGCTATGGGCAGACAGGGACACGGTAACATCTGGCTGTGGAAGGTAGTCTGGGCTCCCAGGAAGGGATGGGACAGCAGTGTTCCCAGATGACCCTCAGACAGACCCTGAGAAAGGGGTGGTTGTTGGATGAAAAGGGGCCTGCTGCTGACACCCTTCCCTGTCCATCTAGGTCTCAAGTTTTCATGAGGCCACCTCCTCTCTCCTATCACAGTTGAGACAAGGCCACAGAGTGGCAGACAGGTATACCTAGGGCAGTGGTTCTCAGCCTTCCTAATGCTGTGACTCTTTAATACAGTTCCTTGTGTCATGGTGACCATCCAACCATAATATTGAAGTCGTTCCTTCATAACTGTAATTTTGCTACCATTATGAATCATAATGTAAATATATGATATACAGGATATCTGATATGTGACCCCTGTGAAAGGGTCATGACCCACAGGTTGAGAACTACTCACCTAGGGGGCTAGAGAATCCTGCAAGGCTCTAGTGACACATTTAATTGTTGGAGGTCAGGGCTGTACTTAGGCCTGGAGCAGCTGCCCATAGGGAGGCAGGTCCTAGGTATTCCCCATGCTCCCCACAGACAGCTGGGCCTCGCTTGATGGTACCATATGTGTCAGAGACGATTGCTATTCCATTTCCTCAAGTAAATGGCCTTGTAGTGGCAGGTGCCCTGGTACTGAGTAATCACACTGAAGATACAGCATTTGTGTTTCAAGGAGAAGGGAGGATCTCTGGCTACCAACCAACTTGCTGCCTCTTTGTTGGATTGGCCCCATGGGACTCATCTTCTAATACTTAGTGTCCTTAGCACCCTGTCAGCCCTGGGTCAGACCTGGGCAGGCTCATACTAGAGCATCAAAGTCCACATGTGGCAGGGGGGCCCGCCCACAACCCCAG